CATGTATGGTTAAAATGAATCACCCTTGGTAGTTTAAGTGATTTGAATCATATCCTAAATACCCATATACCTACACTCCATCAGCCTTCAAACCATGAAATCAATATCACATTTTCAAGGTCTGTGAGAAAAAAGATGATAAATGTTGTCAATATAAAGCCTACAAATAAGATGAAATAAGGGATAACTTGCCTGGAATAATGCAGACAATGGAAATAATTGTACAGCTCGTCTCCTTCTTTGTTCATCTTCCCTTTCCATGTAGCAGCAAAAAACATGCCAATTGAATCTCATTCCGGTCTCTTTTTCTCTTTGAATTAATGAGGGTAAAATAATCTTTTCACAGATGTAAATTTTTTGCTCCTAGGTCTTGGGGACATAACAACAACTTAATGGTTTTCAGGGACTTTAGAGGAATAAATTCTGTTATTTGGGACCTGCGTGTAATTCCCCCAAATATTATTCCTGCTGTATTTATTTAATTTAATTTAATATTGAGAATCAGCCGTCGGTACAGACTGTAGAAAATAAAGTTGTATTTATAGCTCTCGATTTAAGTCGCCTCCCTGGCAAAGTCCTTATTTACCTGTACAAGTTTTGTTCCGGGTCGATACATCTCTATCAGGTACTATGTTCCCTGCGTACTTCGTGTTTTCATTGATTGATTAATCGAAAGATTCGTTTTTCTTCCTTTGTGTAATTTCTTTTCTCTCTGATTTCTTGATTCAGGGCTTTGGCCTTCTCCGATCTCGTTTGGTTGTTGAAGAATCGAGCAATTATGACTCATATCCTTTGATCTTGTGATATGCTTCTAGTTTTTCTCAAGTTTTAGCAATTTGTCGGGTTGAATTTGCGTTTCGTTTCATTGAAAATCCGAGAAATTAAATTTCCTTTTGGAATGAGAGAATAACCCTTGTTTTTGTGGAGAGAAGTGGTTAGGAAGTATTGATGTCGGATATGAAAATTCTCTTAGAAATTTTAAAAATTTCTATGTCTTCTGCATCTCAATTCAGAGTTAAATTATATCTTTTGTTTTCAATCGCGATCTGTTGGCCATGGATTTTGTTCTTCTTATCATGTGGGCTTCGTAAGGCCACTTTTTTCCTGCCTTTTTTTTTTTTTTTTTGCCTGTTTCACTTTAACGGTAGAGAACGCGGTAACCAGAGGGAGAAAGATCGTGAAAGGGCTCAGTCCCGGGTCTCCAAGGGCGGCAAGCAGCAGGGCAAGAATGATGGGTTGACACCTGAGCAACGCCGGGAAAGGTTGGTTCTTCTTTAATATCTTGCTCTTGTATTGTGCCTATCTTTTGTTTATTCCTATCTCTTTCGGGGCCAGAGATGCAAAGGCACTGCAGGAGAAAGCAGCGAAGAAAGCAGCTCAGGAAGCAGCTGGGAGTAAAGCTGCAGGTGGTAGTGGTGGAGGCAAAAAATAAGCAAGGATGATTGTCAGATAGGCATGGAAATATCTGTATTGATTATATTCTGACGTTTAATTTCAAGTTCACGGTCATCTATGAGTGTCATTTGATGTAAACTAGTGTTTCAGGATTGATGTTGGCTGGTGTGAGCCTTTGACTTTTATTTATTTGGAAGACCATTCTATCTGTTGTGTTTTCCACTAAATTTCTGCTATTAAATTTAGCAAATCTGGTTGCATGTACATTGATGGGTCTTATTTGGCGAGCAGAAGCATTTCAACTAACAATGTTTGATCATTAATCTGTTCCACCATTGAATTTTTTAGGCTTGATATCGAGATTTGGACTATGTTTTTTTTTCTCTTTTATTATGTTATTTACTTTGCTGGAAAATCTCCTTATTTCTTATGGATCTACGTTGTGAAGCATAATCTTGGCATAGTGAATCCTATGTAGATTGGGTTTTAATAGAGTCCCTTCTAAATTTTACTGAAACCAACACGTGTATATTATGCTTTTCATATTGGTATTGGAATGTAACTTGGTATAACACATGCTTCTACTGACACTCGAAGCAGCAAATGATAGGGTTTCCGTGACAATAGTCCACTAGAGGCCACACAGAAAGTTCAAAAGTCTTCTGATATTGATAATGTGGACATAATCAATTCATTTGACAAACAAAAGTAGCACCATAGCAGCTCAAACGAACACAACGCAGGACAACAACCCAAGGTGACAAGGTAGGTAAACAGCAGCTGCCTTTATGAGAGGCCAGTGCCATCCAAAGTCTTCCTTCCCGAAGTTGTCCTGCCTTTTTCCCTGGATAAGCTCCTTCTCTAGGCCACCCATTCCCTCTTTTGCTCAGCATGAGATTCCCTTTCTGCCTAGCTTGTTCCTCTGACCCTTCATGCAAAGATCCCTTGTCCCTGTATAATTTGTTAGCCCATTTGTCTGAGCTCCATATCTCTCTTTGTACATTTTTGCTGGCTACTTTAGGTCTTTCTGGCAGTAGTAGGTCGTTATAATTGTAATAAGAGGAAGTTAGTCGGGTAGTTAGTAAAGAGGTTGATAAGCCATTAGAAGTGTTAGTGAGCCGATGGCTGTATAAGGTGTAAAGGTCATTGTAATCTGAGAGTATGGGTTGTATGAAATAAGAATTTAGTTTTGTTTCTCTTGTAATCTCAGTTCCCTTTTTCATCTTTTGTCCATATTCCGCACAATTCATGTATATTATTGTAGATCTAAGAACTGAATGCATTTGATTAGGTTATCCTAATTCTACTTGCATTGCAAAATTTGCGAGGGAACTCTATGAAGCTTTTTGTTTTATCTTGTACTGATGATCATTCTATTTGGATGAAAAAAGTACCGTAAGGAGGGAACTTGATCACTCACTATCTTCTATCATTTTATCTTTTATTTATTTCTTTCTCCGTTTCTGGTGAACCTGTTGCAAGCATATGCCAAGTGCTGAAATCATGTGTGAAGACTAATTAATATATTTATTGACAAAAAGCTTTAATCTTGAAAGCCTGCCCTGCATCACGCTAACCGAGAACTGCTATTAAGAACTCTATACAATGCATTATGTATTGCTCTACCTCCTATCTTAAGTGTAAGACTTATTTGTTGTAGTGTAAATTACATGTAAGACCATAGCTGTGTTAGTTTCTTGATTATGCATGACTGGCTTGTCACTGCCATAAGAAGCCTTTCTCTTCGCAGCTATTCTGTGTTTTTCAAATGTCAATCTTCATAGCATGCCACTGGATTTGGCCTGACCATCGGGTAGAAGTTCTCATTAATAATTTTATTGATAAGAATGATCCAAATTATAGTATCAAATATCAATACTTTGTATGTACAAAATTTACAGAGCATTTGTACTTTTTATTTATAAAAGCTTATTATGTCCTTTTCACTAATAAAATTTGCAAGGGGAGACTTCTCTCCCCTTATTTTTTTGGAAAAATAACAAATAAATAAGGTTGAAATTAGGATATCCTAGGAAGTCAAAGGTTAGAAATAATAGAGAGAAAAGTTATTCTCAAATTAGAATTTTGAAATTAAGGCAAAATGACAAAAATTCCCTTCTATTTTTTTTTTAAAAGGTTCAACCCCTTGAATATTTTGTTTTTTTGGTCATGTGAGAAATTATTTAAAGAAAGTGGTGGGGATGGGGTTTGATGTCACTACCTCTTGGTTATTTGGGCCAAGAAAAGATAAGATGGCTATTGGGCTACTAATGATTTGTCAACTTTATAATGGAAAAAAAAAATATAAGTTGACTATTTTACTATGTTTCTGCTTCGTGAGAAGAATTTATCTGAGAATGACAAGTCTTAAGGGGTGTTTGGATACCCTGAAAAGTGCTTCGTGAGAAGCACTTTTTCGTAAATCGAGATAAACTCATCCACATATTTACCTCGTAGACCGTAAAATCACTTCTGAAACTATGTTTTGGTTTGCATCCAAACACCCTCTTAATTGAGAAATGGCAAGTCATTTATCTAGAAATGACATGTCTTGATTGGGAAATGAGAAGTCTAAACTTGAGATTAACAATGTGTTTTTTTTCCTCTCTCATCTCTAACCCTAAGCTTCCTAAACTATGATGTCGCCTTCTTTATTTGTCATTTCCCTATTTTTTTCTTAAATATAAACTACTACCTCCGGTCCTAATTATAAGAGCCAGTTGACTCATTTGAGGAGATTAAGGAAGTAAGTTGAGTTAGTTATTTGTCCTAAATAGGTGTTGTTTTTCTTAAAATATTCTTGTTAATCAAGTGTATTAACTAGAACTATCATTGTTAGAAGGGTTACTTTGAAAAAAAATGTATAAATATGAGAGACAAAGTGGATTGAAGTCTTATATTTAGGATCAAAATAAAAAAAAAAAGAGTCTTATATTAAGGACCGGAGGTAGTAAAAGAAAACATCCTCACATTAATTAAATAATTAAAAAACAAAAGAAAAACGAGCTTATGAGGTTCAAGCCCGAGCCAAAGCTTATCAAAACTGGATGGTATTGGGAATAATATTGAAAAATTGTATAAGTCATTGTTTAACCCAAAAAAAAAAAAACTCATATTAAGTACTACCTCCGGTCCTAATTATAAGACCCAGTTGACTTATTTGAGGAGATTAAGGAAATAAATTAAGTTAGTTATTTGTAATAAATAAGTGTTGTCATTCCTAAAATATCCTTGCTAATTAAGTGTATTGGCTAGAACCATCATTATTAGAGGGACTATTTTAGGAAAAAATACATAAATATGAGAGACAAAATGGATTGGGGTCTTATAATTAGGACCAAATAAAAAGTCAAACGGGGTCTTATATTAAGGACCGGAGGTAGTACTTTTTAATAATTTTTCTTAATTTAAATCTTAATTCTAGAAAGTTTTTCCCCCACAGATATTCTTACCCGTCATTAATCCCATTTTCCCTAAGACTGGGGAAAGTAGAACAATGAGGTTCAGGTCCGAATCAGATAATTACCGTTTCGGCCGCAATGTTTTTTCCCCTAAAATATTTGGAAGGTGATAATTCGATATCTTATTTCAATATACATGTCTTCTCTACTGCCTTCTGGTGCGGTCCATGAGTGGAGCAGAATCAATGGCTTCGATTTCCAGCAGCGCCCTTCCATTTCCAACCACCATTTACCGCCAACGAGCTACTAATCAATCGCGATGCGTTCGGGCACAGTCTGAACCCGATCCGAATCCCCCTTCGCCTTCGTCTCCTTACTCCAATGACGCTGTAGAGAAGTCATCGGGTGCAATGATAGTCACTGATGGGCGCGCAAGGAGAATGGCCATGGAAGTTCAGAAGCTGAAGGAGAAAGAAGCGAGGGAGAGGAAAGAAGAGGTGAACAGGAAGATAGCATCGAAGAAAGCCATATCGGTGATACTTCGAAGGGAGGCTACCAAGGCCATTATTGAGAAGAAGAGGGGTCCCACCAACTCCAAGAAGCTGCTTCCGAGGACCGTTTTAGAAGCACTTCATGAAAGAATCACAGCTTTGCGGTGGGAGTCTGCTCTCAAGGTCAGCCTCTTTGTTTTGGAGCTCAATCGAGTTCATTATTTGAAAATGATATGAAAATTGTCCACTTAACATTCAATCTTGTATCCCTCGATCGTCTGAAAATGTAGTTAAAATTGGATTGTCTAAAATTACTCTTGCATGAATGGCCGTATCATGGATTAATTGTTTCTACTCTGGTTAACTTGCTTGAAAATTGGATTGGAAGCTCTATGGACTCTGTTGTATGTTGACGTGGAAAATTGGTTTTACTGGTTATTCCTGAGGCTGTGCTTATCTAGTATAATGTTTTCCTTGACTAATTGGAAAAGGAAATCGGGGGGCAAGAAATTTTTACTCATTATTGGAGCAACACAGCCCATGTCTTCTCTTACAGAATTTTGAGTATTACTGTCAAGAGTAGGGCTCTTTGAAGGTACTGACAGAGGTTATTGACGGGTAGCTTATTGGCAAACTCATGGAACCCTAATTGCTTCTTGAGGATCTCGTTGAGGGCTAATGTGACAATAACATCCGTTGGATGTATAAGCCTATAAGGTCTTGTTATCCGTTATTTCCTTTGAGGCATCTTTACTGTTCTTGCCTAGATATATTCTGGGATTTCTTGTGGTGTGACTAAATTAGTTTGGTAGTATGTATTTTAGTGTTCATTCATTGAGTTTGCGTACAAATCACTGGAACCAAAGTTCCCATGCAACTTGGGGAGCCATAATGAGGAGAGAAAATGAGACCTGAGAGTTGTGTACTGGTGACTTTCGGTACCATTCGCTAGCGAGGGAGTTGTGTTGTTGGCTGCCTTAAAATGCTGCCCAAAAATGGAAACCAGTTGAAAGAGGTTGAATTGTTAATAACTAAAGGAAAGATTCTATATCGAACATTTGGAGAGGGGAAAAAGAAATGAGAAATAAACATAATATGAATTGTTAATACCTAAAATACTTGCTGAAATGTAGCGGTGAATGTTTTTGCATGCATATGTGTCAAACTTCTTTATCAGGTTGCTCCCACGAGGAAAAAAAATTCAATACTTCTTTTTTTTTTAAATCCATTTTAAGAAGAGGAAAAAAAATACAACATGGAGAAATAGAAAAGGAAAATCTTATTTTCTTCCCCAAGAGATAGGTGAATTTTTCACTTATTCTTACAAGTTTATTTACTTTCTAATCCCTCATTCAAAATGCTCTCAGTATGACCCTTATCCCATCTCCATCTACAAATGACCGAAGCTAACAGATAACTGAGTTCTATGTGCTCCGGCTTGTGACGCCAGTTGATTCACGCCTAACTCCCACAGTCTACAATAGGTAACACGGTCCATGAGATTAGGATGGATGAGTAAACTTTGGAGATGTAGCGCTTCTGAATTTTATAAAATTAGAGTTCTTAGTTGGGGTTTCTTATTTGATGTGGACTAAGTGTATATCAGGAAAGTCAATTGGTGCCAGTCAGCATTCTGTTGGGTTCTTGATAGAAATCGGATGAATTGTCATCATGAAAGCATTTTAATGGATAAGGGATTAAATTGGAAGAAACATTTGTGGAGGATGAATTGAAAATGCACCCATCTGTCATGAAAATATTTTTTTTAAAAAAAAAAATCTTAGGGGGTGTTTGGAAGCACCTAAAAGTGCTTCTTAAAAACACTTTTTCGCAAAACGAGGCAAACTCCTCCACATATTTACCTTGTATATAGTAAAAGCACTTTTAAAACCATGGTTTGGTTTCCATCCAAACATCCCCTTAATTGGGGACTAAATCTAAATACAATTGCTGAAACATAAGTGTGTAATGATTGGTGCATCTGTTTGTGTCACCTTTTTCTTTTTCTTGAGTCTCTCTCATATGAAAGTGAAAACTTTTCAACATCAATGAATGCTCTTAACTTGATATAAATGCCAGAGTTAGGTTTGTGTCACCTTTTTCTTTTTCTTGAGTCTCTCTCATATGAAAGTGAAAACTTTTCAACATCAATGAATGCTCTCATGGATGCAGGTTTTTGAATTACTGCGTGAACAGCTCTGGTACAAACCTAACTCTGGCATTTATATCAAGTTAATAGTCATGCTTGGAAAATGCAAGCAACCTGAGAAAGCCCATGAGCTCTTTCAAGCTATGGTTGATGAGGGTTGTTACGTGTCCTGTGAAGCATACACTGCATTGTTATCTGCCTACAGCAGGAGTGGTCTCTTGGACAATGCATTCTCTATTCTTGAGGAGATGAAGAGCATTCCTGATTGTCAGCCAGATGTCCAGACATATTCAATCCTCATTAAATCATGTTTGCACATTTTCGCCTTTGACAAAGTCCACTATCTTCTATCTGATATGGTCATTCAGGGAATCAAACCCAACACAGTTACTTACAACACCCTCATTGATGCTTATGGGAAGGCAAAAAAGTAAACTGTCTGTCTAGCTGTGTATCCCTTCTTATAAAAAGATTGCATGCTGAGTCTGGTTGCTGAAAAAATTTGAAAAGTGAGTTTATTGACTGCTACTATTCCTTCATACTCTAGACATTACAAGCAAGAAAGAGGGAGGGCTTTGTAGATCTCCCTATGAAAATATCAATGTCTTTTTTAAAGGCTGGGTAAAGGTAAACAGACAAATTGCACCCATAATCAATATGGTGAACTCAATAAGCACTGATGCAAAGTTAATTGCTGTTGCTTCGGTTAGGCACTTTCATCGTTACCCATTCGTACATGCGATCACCCTTTCTCTCCTTTCTGTTAAACTTAGTTAAGAAGCCGTTCTTTTTCAGTTTTAAGAAGCCGTTCTTTTTCGGTTTTTCTTTCTTTCTTTTTTTTTTTTTTAAAGCAACCAGCTGCAGCATGATATAATGGCATTTTCCCACTCATTTATCTTATTTTCTTTACAGGTTTGCAGAGATGGAATCCATACTTGTGGAAATGCTTGCTGACTCAGATTGCGAACCTGATGTATGGACCATGAATTCAACGCTAAGAGCCTTCGGCAATATAGGGCAAATAGAAACAATGGAGAGATGTTATGAGAAATTTCAGAATGCTGGATTGCAGCCTACCGTTCAGACTTTCAATATCCTCTTGGACGCCTATGGCAAGGCTGAGGATTACGAGAAAATGAGTGCTGTGATGGAGTACATGCAGAAATACCATTACTCTTGGACAATTGTGACCTACAATATTGTGATTGATGCTTTTGGCAGAGCTGGAGATCTGAAACAGATGGAGTATTTATTTAGACTAATGCGATCAGAGAGGATAAAGCCGAGCTGCGTCACGCTTTGCTCACTTGTGAAGGCTTATGCACAAGCAGGTAAACCTGAAAAAATCAGCGGTGTCCTGCGTTTTATAGAGAATTCAGATGTAACACTTGACATTATATTCTTCAACTGTTTGGTGGATGCTTATGGGAGGTTAGGTTGTTTAGCTGAGATGAAAGGAGTGCTTGATATGATGGAACAGAGAAGTATTAAACCTGATCTAATTACATATAGAACCATGATCAAAGCTTATTCAGCTAATGGCATGAATAGTCATGTGAAGGAGCTTAGAGAGCTCATTAGGACAGCACAGAGGCCTCCTTTAAAAAGAGACAAGCCTGACTTTTAATGAAATGGTTTTCTGATCTTGTTTCTGCCATTTAGGTGCAGTTCTTTTCTCTTGGTATTCTTTCTTTTTATGCTTATTTATTTATTTGTGGTTGTTATTGCTAGCAGCCGCCTTGGACTACCTCATATACTATCTCTGGCTTTTAATATAAGAGATAAATGAGGGTCGTATTTTGTTTTAAATGTAAGATTTCAATTCATTTTATCTTTTAAATTTATAATTTTTCTTAGCCAAACTATCTTCTATTAGTTGTACATGTTGAGGAAGCTCCCAATCAAGGAGTAGTTCCAATATATATGATTAAAGAGGATAATTTAGAAAAGTCAATACATATTTTTTTTATAAATAACTAATTAAACTAATTTTTTTAATATTCACAAATTAGTTACTTAACTTTTATGTTAATGAACTTTTTTTTAACACTCCATGTTAAGCTTGTGGATACTGGTTGCGTATTTTGAGAGGATTCTCAGGAGTCATGACTCAAGGGAAGGCAAGACATGGGGATATTTTGCCAATCTAATTAACCATTTGAGATTATAATTTTTTTTAATTAAAATTTAAGTAATACTTTTTATAAAAAGGTCAATTGTACATTAAAATTAAAAGATACATGAAGTCAAATACATATATGAAAATATAATAGCAAAAGATAGCTTGAACAACACACTCATGGAAGGTAGGAATTAGCAACTGTATCTAACTTGCAACCATGAAAGAAACATATGCTAAAGGATGCTCTGCGCGTTTGTAACCATGAAAAACGTGCAACGGGGGTTGCTGGCTCATCTGCAGGTGAAGTAATGTTTGGATTCAAGACGGAAACAAATGGGCTTTTAGGAAATGGAAATAAATGGGCTTTAAGCAAATAGCCATGTTGAAGCAAAAGTTAAAGTTTCCTGTTTTTAGCTTCAGCCAGTCAGCTAGCCTGGAGAGAGGGGAAAAAAATGTCCACGAGATGAAAGGGAAGGATCTTAAAGTAGGTCTTAATTTACTTTAATGAAAAAAATTACTCCAAAATACCTAATAATTATATGTTTATAAAAGTATCCGAAAAAGGAAAAAAATTAAATGATAAAGTTTATATTCTTCTTACCAATTAGATTTTTAATGGAAAATTTTTCCCTAGTTTTTCCTAAAATTGAAGTATTTTAGTTTTTTTATAAATTTTTCTAATAAAACTTAAATTTATTTCTATTTCAATCATTTTACATCTAAACTTACTCTTTTACTCTTCATCTAAATAAATTTCAATTTATAAATATCAATATAAATATAAATCACGTTATACTAACTGACTTTTATTATAATTTATGTTTGTAAAAGTCAGACGAAACAAAAGTTACTTTTATCAGTATCAATCCAAATCCAAACATATCCTACATGGTGCATGAATAGATCATCTCACTAGTGTGCTTCCATGATGTCTAAATTGACATCATTTTTGTGTGAGCAAGCATGCCTTGATGTCAAACTTTCATAAGGTAGCTAACAACATCTATCAAAATTTTGTTTGATAAAGAAGAAATAATGGAAACTGCCATACTTAGCCATCCAAAATCTTTAGATCGAAATACAATGACACGCCTTTGAACAAAGGTCCCCTTTAGCCCACCATCATCATTATGGAACTTGAATAAACCACCACCAACAAGCACGCTCAACAAAGGATAAGCAAATGTGATTACAATGCAGTAGAACAATGACATCCCCTCCATGAGTAGTTGAATAACATCTAACAGTAATGTCTCCATAAGCACATAAACAAGGCCAGAAAACAAACTAGTGGCAAATATAAGCCATTGAAATTTCGAAAGCCGGAGAACCCCACAATCTACTAGGCTTTGAATAGCTGAAGCACCAGATCAAGACTTGCTAGAAATCCTAAATTGGGTTTCTTAGGCACATTCCGCCCATGAAGTATTCTCATACCTAGAATATTTATAAAATTAATTAAATAAAAATATTAGAATATGTATTAAATTATTTTTTAATTCCAGATAAAGATGTCATAGGTGATCAAATGATAATCATTAAGTAATATTTGTGTTAAGGAGAGGTATTTTGATCAAAATGGTGGTTTAGTGCAATGATTCAACAGTTAAATAACAGTTCGGTAGATGAAAGATAAATCTCAAAACTAAAAGGAAATTTTGTGCAACATATGTTTTGATTTTAAAGAAAATCTATATAGATTTTTAAAATAAAAAGGGGGTCTTTGTAATTTAGGTTGAATAGAGAGCAGATTGATGCATTTTATTTAATTATTAAATAATCTAAATATAAGTATTCAACAATTACAATTAATATTTCCTTTATCATATTGGAAAAATAGTGAAGAGCCGATAGATAAAATGAAGAGTAATTCGCGTGGATTTTAAATCCAGTGAATTTTAGCTTAAATATGTCTAGCATTGAAATCTTTTTTTTTTTGGAATATGAATAAATGTTTGATGAAATTTAGTCTAAATTTTAAAAACACAAACTCATAAAAAGGAAAAGCATGGATTTACTTCTGCGGTGGTTCGATCCCTATACTAATATTAAGTTATATTATTCTTTTTTTTTTTAATCAGCATGAAGTTATTTTATTCATAAGATCTTTTTCTCTTTTTACAGGAATTATTCCGGAGGATTGGTGCTAACAGTGAGATTAAGATTTGGGGAAATAAGTGGGTTCTTGCTGGTTCAGACTTTTATCAACTTTTAAGTATGCCTAGCAATGAAAGAGTACAGGATTTGAAAGCTGCAAATTTGATTGTTAATGGAAGGTGGAATCTATCAACTACAAGTAATAAAATTAAGGGAAAATTAATTTCCTGTCTCTTATAGTTTCATCAAATTTTGAATCATCAAATTTTGAATCAGGTCCTTCAATTTTTTTCCTTTTTTATTGAGCCCTTGATGTTTGCTCCATTATATGTGTTAATCCTTCCGTCCATGAAACTTTTATATTCTGTCACTTTGTGCTGACAGGGACGATGTGGCGCTGACCTGGCCAAGCCTCTCCCACCAGTGTTGAACTTGAACCCCTCTTTCCTGTATCTCGTTCCCGCTCCAGTCTTTCTTTTCTTGGGCTGGAATTGGTTCAGCTCCTCATCGGAAACTTTGCCATCATATCTCCGGCAGCCTTGAGGCCTTCTTTCCTAGTGACGCACCCCCTTAGGTTCCCTATGTTTTTTAAAGGGAGCCTGTCATGGAAAAAGATAAGTTTACCGAACCTAATGAGTCATTGTTCAAAGCGGAGGCCTTCCTCCTTCAATAATAAATCAGGAGTCTTCCCACAATTGGCGGCTTTCCTCCCAATCACCACCTTAATCAATGCCACCGCTCCCCCCTGCGTCATTCATACTTCAAATTTTTAAATAATCCAGCTATTCACGTCTTCATTTAAAGAAAATCATTAAATAAAGTCAAGATATATACATATAATGGACGGAATATGCTAGTTTCATGTATGAAAGGATTAACACATATAATGAAGCAAAGATCAACGATTGGATAAAAAGAAAGAAAAAATAGAGGGACCTGATTCAAAATTTGCTGAAACCATAAGGACTGAGGAATTAATTTTCCCTAAAATTAATGATGATGAGAAAAGAATGATTTATGAGATGAAGATTCCAGAGGAGGGGGGATTACACCTTCCAATTTGGTTGAAGACCAAGAATGGCAAGTATACAGTGAAGTTAGGCTAGTTTGTTGCTAAACAAAGTGAGGTAAGGGTAGCTAATACTTGTCCTAGTGCTTCTTATAAAATCTCTTATAAAGTTTGGGTTAATATTTGGTCTTTGCATATCCCACAAAAAATTAAACATTTCATGTGGCAAATATTAATTAAATGGCTTTTTGGCAACAAAAGAAGCTTTATATTGAAAGCATTGTACTCTAGATAATATCTGTCCAGTTTGTAATAATGAGCCGAAAACTGTTAAACATTTGATTCTGCACTGCTCTTGGGCTTCATGCTACTAGTTTGGGTGTTCTTTCACTCTGATTAATGACATAAACAGAATAGCGTGCGTTAAAAAATGGTGTGACGAAAGTTTTCTACATCAGGAAAATATTGATGACCATGAAAGAGCACTTATGGTAGCAATATGTTGGGGTATTTGGAAAGGAAGATGCGATTGGTTATTTAATGGCAATATGGTTGATCCTATGAGAACCATCTCAATAGCCTCCCTTCTAATTGATAGTTGATGAAGTTTGGACAGCAAAGTCAAGTGAGGTCAATAATGGCGCTGATGCAAGGAATAGAAGTATCTAGAAGAAAATATGCTGGGAGCTTCCTAATGTAGACGCTATTAAGGGCTTGCTTGGAATAGCTTATAAGTAGCTTTTCAATCGTGATTTACGAAATACGAAGCAAGTACGTGAAATAAGTTTTGTCTTGGCCTGTGTGAAACGTGCTTATAAGGAATTTTCACCGTTATCCCAAATAGGCTCTAAATTGAGCACCGATGGATTATTTAAGAAGAGAACTGAAAGTGTGAGCATTGGAGTAATTTGCAAAAATAACAGTGGAGCTTTTTTACGAGGCATCTGCAAGAAAGTTAAGTCATCTACTCTCGTTGAAACTAAATGTCTTGCTCTCAAAAGTGCTCTTTTGTATATTCATACTTTCGCTAATCATAATATCTGTATTGAGATGGATTGTGAGGAGCTTTTTAAAGTTCTTCCGAATAAATTTTTAGTTAATGCTGAATGGCAAAGCCTTTCTATTTTTCCTGATATGTTTCTAATGATTGAGCTAATACCAGTCACTCAATTTTTCTTGGTTGCCAGACAAGGAAATAGAGCTGCGGGTTTTCTTGCAGTTATGAATGGCTAGTGATAGTAGCATCTCTGCTACAAGAATTTGGATGCTGATGTGATTACTAGTAGAAACAGCATAAATACTTTTACTGATAAAGGTTTGGATCGCAAAGGAATAGGCTGATTTGATGTTAAAGTTTTGTGCCTTATTTTCTGTTTTTTGGGTGGACTTTGTTTTGTTCTTTAGGCTTATTGTTTTTGTTAGTTCTTTTGTAAAAAAGACAACAACCAAAAAAGAGCTGGAATTTTGTAAATACCAAACAAGAAATGTCAACAAAAATTTGTTGTCATTTACAAATTTAGACTTGTTAATACCAAATAAAATTGTGTTACCAAACCTGATTTGAGATTTGCAATTTCTAGCTTCTTTTTCTATCATTCTCCCTGTGTAAAATGTTTCGTACCTTTTGGTTTTTTCTCTCTACTTTGTAGACCTTTCTTTTATTAATCAATAAAATAACCTCTTCTTGCTTTAAAAAAAAGAGAAACCTTTTTATGATCATTTATTAAAGCATTAAAAAAATGCCCTTTAAATAGAAAATAAATTTAAGTACATAAGTACTAATAAATCTTTAAAGTTTAAAAGCATATAATTTGTTTCAAGTTTAGCCAATAATTAAAAATGATCCCTTTTACTTTTCTTTTACATCCGTCTTTCGGGAATGCAAGTCAGGGAGCCAAAAAAGAAAAAAGAAAAAAGACAAGATTGTTTCCTACGACTCTTACCAAAATTAATACAGAATCTTATCCACAAAAATAGCTCCTACCCCACCACTTGTTTTAATCATAAAAATCTATAATCCCAGTAAAATTTTATATTAATTAATTGGAATAAAAAATAAATGCAGAACCACACTTGAGTCTATCATTTATTAGAAATAGCTGAATTTACCAGTCACTTTGTACCCTAGTCACTTATTAATTTTCTTGTAATTAAAAAGTCATGAGTTCGATTTTATTTATTATATTAGCCTGGCAGTGTTGGTTTTTTCAATTAAAAAAAAAAAAGAAAGAAATCACAGATCTTCTATAATGCTTTTTAATTATTTTTTAATGAATGTTGAGCATCTTAAACTATTAAATAATACAATGTCACTTTTGAAGAAGTATTAATTTAAAAGGATGCAATGTTTAGTTTCATTAATTTGTAAAAATAATATTAATTGGTATAACAAATATCATTTGAAACTAATAGTGTTAATGTTAGATACTTGAGAAAATATTTTATAAAATTAAGAAATTAAATTAAAATATTGCATAAAGTTGGAAGAGTAATTGTATACTTTTATAATTTAAATTTAAAAGAAAGTAAAAAAAAAATGCCATTACAAGAATTCATAATAATCTCACACGATAAAACCTTGTATAAAAAATAAATAAACACATCCTCTTTATTAGGAAAAGAAGTACATTACATATATTAATTCAAGTACTTCGGTTTTGATTCTCTTTATCATTAAGTCAAACATGTTTTCTAAATTCTCTATTATTCCAATTTCATAATTTTATTTCATAAATTAAAATATTTATTGAAAAAATAAAATATAATTTATTTAAATCTATTTCGGACAACATAAAACTATTTGACTGTGATGAATTAAACGAAACCGAGAATTTTTCACATTTATACAGCAAGAGTGTGATTGATTGAAAATATATGAATAAAGTGCACTCAAAATGATAACTATAATAAACACAGAGTCCAGTCAGTTATTCTTTATTCATTTTTTTATCAATATAAAATAATACGATTTAGATCTAGCAGATCTCTTAAGAAGACCAATGATTGATATTTTATAAAAACTGGTCTAAATATTATATATAAGTATTATATTTATCATTACGATATATTTAGTGCATTATTCGCAACTAGCAATTATTTAATTGATCAGTTATTCAATATTTCATTGTTATTTTGGAGGAAAAAATCAAAATAGTTTCAAATTGAAGAAACTTAGATCCCGTTTGATACAAAGTATTGAAAACAAGGGATAAAAATTATGATTGTAATTTAAAAAAATTATTAAAAAAGTTTTTAACACTCTTTTATGGGTTTAGTTTAATCCCATGTAATATGTAATTTCTTATACTAAACACTCTTTTAATAGATTTTTTCAATTATAATTCTAATTTCTATCTCTCATTTTTAATGCTTTATACCAAACGATACCTTAAAGTTTGTTTGGTTTCTTGTTTTGAAAATAATTTTGTATTTTAAAAAACAGAAAAATGAAAAGACTTGTTTGGTGATTTGCTTTTAGTTGATTGTTTGGAAAAAAAAAACACAAAAATAGTAACATGTTTTAAAAATTAAAAAAACCAAAACAACTTTTACATGTTTTTTTGTTTTGTTTTTGTGTTTTCTTTATTTTTTAAAAAAGTTGAAGAAATCTTCTTTTCTTTTTACTAACTATTCGATATCTATTATTATCGGTGTCAACTATGTGTTTTTTTTTCAAATGCAATTTTTTTTGAAAATTATTATCCAAACAATTGTTTTGTTTTTTGGTTCTAAAACTTGTTCTAAGAAATAATTTTATAAAATTATTTTAAAAATAAGAAAAAAAACAGCCCTTGTTTATTACACACGAACAAGTTCATATTATCATGCATCACTGTCCAGCGTCAATTGGCTCTTCTATGCAATCTTACCAACCCCAATAATACCGAATAGGAATCTAAAATACCCTTTTGAGGTAAAAACTTTTGTACCTTCTCATTCCCCCCCAAAAAAAAAAGCACACTATTATTTTTTTTCCCTAAACATAATGAAATGAAACAATTTTAACCACTTTAAGAAAACATTTTGGCATAACTTGTCCTGTTCCATTCAAACCTTCATTTGATCCGCATGGAAATAAAAAAAAAAAACCATAATTTAATCAATGAAAAATTTCTGTTTGAAAATTTTATTAACAGAAAGACATGAAATTTGAAAAATATATACGGGTACTTTTTCTGTATGAAAATTTATTCAAATTCCTCTGACCAATAAAACTTTTGAATAGGAATTTTTTTTAATGATTTTTCTAATTTATGTTTTAATAATAATTTACTACAATGGGTTAAACTTATAAATTATGAATTATTATATTTTTAATGATGTTCCAAAATTCAATCATTAACATATTGATCAATACAATTTAATACTGATATTGATATTTATTTTGTAACTCATGAATAAAAAATAATAAAACAAAAAAAAAATAATTATTATTATTAAAGAAAAAGCCCAAAATGGACGTCCTATTTCTCAAAGGCCTCCTCTTCGTCGTCGTCTTCATGCCCAGCCCACTAGTACTCGCAGGGGTCGCATAGTCCCTCTCCTCACGCACGAAGAAGAAGCAACTTGCAGATACAGAGAGAGAAACAAAAGCTATAGAATCAAATTGGCGTTGTTGGATTCCACACGGACACTGAGATACGCTTTCATGGTTGACATTTCCTGTTGAATGTTAGGTTTTTAGGGCTAATTCGTGCTCGTTCCCTCCAACAAAAAGGCCCTCTTCCAAAACCCTAGGAAACAGGAAGTTCAACGTGGCAAGGCCTCAAGGTGTTTCAGGTTGTGCCCTAGCTCACAAATTCGTGATTCTCGTGCGTAATAAGGTGTTTCCCCTCTCTTAATTGTCATTGTTTGGGCATTGGTCTGCGTAGCTGAAAACCCTAGAATCATGCAAACTGGGGAATTTGTGGAAATGGGCATCCTTAGGGTTTTTAATTTGGGGGGTAAATTTTGCTGAATTGTTTTTCTCTGGGGCTGTCTTATGCATTGTCATGAAATGTCGTCAGGTTTATGCCTGAGCTAGTGTCTATTATGGGGTGTGAAAGTGGTGTCTTATTTATGATTGGGGATTTGCCTGCCCATATTGGGCAACGAAGAGGAATGCATTTCTTAAAGCGGTAAGCAACTAATGTGAATAATAAAGTTACCGTTCGTGATGCCAGTTCAAAATTTTGAAGGTAATCATTGGCGCCAACCTCCATGTATGCAATAGTTGAGATAACATACGTAAGAATAAGTAATAGTGACGAGTGTTTTAGGTACTAATTGCGTCTTATTTTATCTTCGCTGTTTATTAACATCTTTCAATGCCGTTATGGGTCTTTATTATGTCTGCAACCTCTATGGTTATGCATTTCCGTGCATGTTGAAATAGTTCAAACCACGTCGCTGCGTATCTTTTGCATTATTTGCCATGTGCAAATGATGATATCCGCTAGCTTGTTATAGTAGTGTATGTGCCTTTATTTCATTCATGTCAAGAAATCTACTAATTTGTATTATATAGGCTCTTACAGTTTCGATGAAAGACAGGAATCCTTTGCTTGGTGAATTTTGAACGGTCAACATCATTTTTTATTTTCTACAGACGTTACATTCTCACAGCTTGTAGGAAGACAATATCTACTTGGTGAGAGGCCTTTGCTCGGTGAATTTTGAAGGGTCGACATCATTTTTTATTTTCTACATATGTCAGTGTTACAGGCTGTAGAAAGATAATATTTACTTGGTTTTTCTCTTTGTGGAGGATTTCTCAACCATTCATCAATTCATCGAGTGAAAGAAAATATTGTCTTGAATTGCTGAAAGAAGGCCTGTTTGATTACTAATTTACGCACGGCTTATGAAGAAACAAAGTTCCGTAGAAGCAGTTAGTCGTTAGTCTGAAGACCTAAGTACCATCATCATAATCATGAGTGAGCTAAAACCTGCTTCAGCGTTATCAGCTTAGTTCTTGGTGATGCCTCTATTTAATTTATTGCCTCTAATCATTGACTAAAATTATTGAATTACTTATGTAGTCAAAAGGTGTTCACTTCAATACTAAGGAACAAAAGCAAGGTGCTAGGAGGCCACAATGCCTCTTGCTGGGTGAGGGCCGAGGCAGGGGCCTTTCATCCTGGTGCTTGCATGGCAGCGTCTTAGCATCTTTGTGGTGGATGCAACAGCTTGCGTCAGGTGCAAGCTATAAAAGCCAACCCGATAACTCAAAACCATCAGTATCTTAAATCTCGAAACAAGATAATTCAAACATACAAAAAGCATAAACACGGCCTAGAAATTCAACTGGGCCCCAGTGTGCTTCTAAGCTATTTTCTTTTATTTTGTCACTTTCAGAATTCAGTCAAACCTTTTTTCAAACTTCCCAGGCTTATAAACTTCCTTAATTTACTTATTATGCTTGTATGTCTTATGCTATCTCCACAGTTAATATTTATTTCCTATTTATAGAGCACATTATTAACCCCAACCCCCCCCCCCAAAAAAAAAGACCAAATTTTACTGTCTTGCTTCACTTGGTTAAACACATATCTGTCACCTCTTGCCTCGAGGAATGATTGTTGTGTCGAAATTTGTAATTTGTGATCTGTGCCAGTGGTGCAACTTCTTTCCTCCTAAATGATAGCTGCATGACCCGTATTATCTTTTCACTCTTCTCTCTCTCTTATTTAGCCCATCACTGCACAGGGGCCATTGCAACATTTCTTATCTGCTGAACAGTAGTTCATTCAACGTACTTTATAAATAGGCCCTGGAAAGAGTCCTTTCGTTTGTGTGCGTGTGAGGGAGAGGGAGGGTGGGGAGATTGGTTTAAGCCTTGTGGAAAATGTTCTCTCTTGTTTAAAACCTCCTGTTTAGAAGGACGTTTTCGATTTGCTGCTGCTTGATGTTTGTCAATAATGTTCACATTCTGTCTGGCTTGGGTCTTTTTCTTCTTGGTTGTTTTTAATAGTACATTATATTTTGTATATAAATTAAGTGCTTTGTAGTTTTTGCCCTCTCTTATTTAACCCCTTGCCTTAACGAATTTGGCAGATGTTTTAACAGATGGGAGATCAAACTCTTAGACATTAGAGGTGGGAATGCATGGATGTAATTCTGGATCGGCTGTCCTTGTAAATGCTGAGGTTGATTCCATGGGAGGAGTTATTGACGGCGGAGTTGGCATAGGGTTGAAGACCTCTCCCCGCCAAGCAGCCATTGAGAAGGCTCAGGCAGAGCTCAGGTGATGAGAGGTTCATTTATGTACTTCCATTCTGTTTTTTGTCTTGCTTCCTTGAGTACCGATATGATATTTTATGGTATACGCCAAGAATAACCTGTTGGATGTTGATAACAGACAGGAATATGATGTTCGTGAGGAAAGAAAAAGAGAGCTAGAATTTCTTGAAAAAGTAGGTGGCTTTGATCATTTGCACGCTGTATTTTCTGATAGATGTATGCAAATGGTGATTACCTTTTATGCGTTGTAAGTGTAGGGGGGGAATCCTCTGGACTTTAAGTTTGGGACTGCCGCTTCAGCTAGTGTCCAGTCTACCTCACTCACTGATCAACACCATGAGCAGTTTGTGACAAGGTCGGCTATTATTTTTCTTGTTTTTGTTGGATTTGTTTGACTCTTGGCAGTATCTTGTGCTTGTTAATGGTTATCTTTTGCATTCAATTTTCTTAATCTTAATTCTTAATGATATTTCATTGTGTTTGTTGCTTGACCTTTCTATCTTATTGTGATTTCAGTGAAGCAAAAGGTAGTTTTGCTTTGACGGCCTCCCCTCATGGTGACTCTGTTGACAGTAGTGCTAGACCAGGTGCTCCCTCGGGTAGTGAACCAAATACTGCTGATAATCTCGTAGTTTTGGGTATTGATAAAGAGTTACCTAAAGGCGAAAGGAGATCTGCACATCAAAGTAGAAGGAACAATGTTACTCCGTCAGAGCAGTCTTCCAAAATTGATGGGAGTCAGAATGCTAAGGACTCTGAAGATTCTGCCATTTTCCGCCCATATGCTCGAAGAAATAGGTCCAGAACAAATCATGGTCCTCGGGGCAGCTCAAGGGATGGGAAGGGGTTGGTATCTGAAACTGGCAACTTGAAGGAACATAATTTGCCTTCTGTTTCTAAGCCCAAGCCTCCAAACATAAATGGAGAGGTAGTTACTAAAGATAACATTTCTATCAATCCGTTGGTTAGCAAATCAGATGGTGTCCGAGTTCATCAAACAACTAGTGGCAATAGCGTTCCTGAAGTTAAATTGGATATCACTGCCCAAAGAAACTATGAGGAAGATCAGTGTACTCTACCTTCCCGAGATGATACTGTACAAAACCCAGTTGTCATGGCTTCTAGGGAGACTGATGCAGTTGAAGAAAGGGAGCCAGTAGCTGCTGCTGATCTGGAGCCTCTGCCTAAAACTACAAAACCAGAAAACGAAACCTGTTCTGGCCAGCCAAATGGAATTGCCAACATAAAAGCAGATAAAAAGGGCATAACGAATGAAGAACAAAATGGTGATGCTGTGTTAGGTGTGACGACTTTCAACTCAGGGTCTTCGTGCACCCAAAGTAGTGTAGGTAGAGATGTTAATAATGATAGTGATATGTGTAATAATGCTAAAAATGTTAATGGCAATGGCAGCACTGTGGGAAAAATGCCAGTATTTGATAAGAAACCAAATGTAACTGGCTGTGAAGTAAAAGAAAGCAGCAAGGCCAATGCCAGTGGAGGTGGGGCTACTGTTAATGATGGAAATGATGCTGGTTGTCTAAACCATTCTGGTAGTGGTAATATGGTCAAAGCCGAGCAAGATGCTTCTGTTAATGGTTCATCCATGCAAAACAAGGTGAGTGATTTTTCCAATATCAAGGGACAAAATGACAGTACTGCATCAAAAGCTGAGAAAGAGTTAGGTGGTGTCTTGGCGGATCATTCCAATTGTGTCAAGGGCAATAGCTCTGGAAGACACCAACAGGAGCCTATGGATGGGTCAAATTGTGAACTTGCTCAGGCTGTTCTGGCGGAAAAGGTTTCAACTTCTGCCTCTGACCTTCAGCCATGTTCCAATCACCATTTATTGGCGGACAAGGCACGTGAAGATTCTATTTTGGAAGAGGCACGGATTATAGAGGTCCTCATTTTTTATAATTCCATTTATAGTGACTCATGCCCATTTTGGCCAACTTCTGTAACTTTTTCCTTTATCATCTGATCAACAAACTATATAAATGTCTAACATGTATTAAACAGGCCAAGCGGAAGAGGATCACAGAATTGTCATCAACTCGCACTTTACCCACACAGAACCATAGAAAATCTCACTGGGGTTTTGTCCTTGAGGAAATGGCATGGTTGGCAAATGATTTTGCACAGGTTTTAATTTCTATGCCTACTAGTGATTCGCTGCTTTCCCCTTCCTGTGGTTGTCTCAACCCTTTATGGACTAGCAAAAATACACAAGGTTAATCTTACTGAAGTTTTGTGTTATCTTTTTTAAAGGGGGGTTTTTCCTTGGCATTGTTTTGCAGGAGAGACTTTGGAAGATAACTGCTGCAGCACAATTGTGTCATCGAGCTGCTTTTACCTCTCGGTTAAGATCTGAAGAGAAAAGTAAACATCTGGGAATTAAAGTTTTGGCTCACAACATAGCTAAGGCTATCATGCAGTTCTGGCATTCAGTTGAGCTGCTTCTAGAAAACAATGATGCTAGTATTGACTACTCTGGTGCATTCTCAGAATCTGAGAAAGTTGATGTGGTAGAAGCTTCTAGGAACAAGAGAAGAAATTCAGATGGGGTACTCGTTATTTCTTGGACTTTTGCGTTTTGCATATAAAGCAAATTTGTCTTGAACCTTCATTGTTGGTGGCTGCTTTGGTCAGTTATGGGATAGGACATCCCTGTTACATTATTTTCCTATTAATTTGTTTATTTTAAAGAGATGATACAAATGATATTGCTTCTACCGCATAATGAAGAATTCTATATTTGAACTCTGTGATGAGGTAAAAATGAATCGAGATTTTATTATCATGTTATATATGTAAAGCCAAAGATTTTAGAAGTAAAAATGCATTTAATGTTCATACAACCCCATAGTGGATCTTATAAAAGGGGACATAGGGGTTCAAAAATTTGGATCTTATAAAAAGGGATGGAGGGAGCATATCACAGGTTCAGAAACTATTGCATACTGCGATTGTTTGATATTTGTTATAGCTATCATCTGGGAGAATCGAGACATATTGCTTATCCCCCATTCTACTGTCATCATGGACTACTTACTGAATCCATAGTGTTGGTTGTTTTGTTCAGGAGAGAGATGAATATTTGGAGGAACATCCCAGAAAAAACTTGGCTAAGAAAGTCCAAGCTTATGCTTTGAGGTTTTTGAAGCATAGTAAGCCTCATGAAACTTCTTCTCTAGCTGAAGCACCAGCAACACCTGATAGGATATCTGATTCAGGCACTCTGGGCATGCCATGGGAGGAACATCTTACAGAAGTATGGGCTGAGTTTCCTTAGATATATTTGGTTTGCTTGTAAATGTTGACAGTAGTGATTTGTCTTCTTTTTCCCTCTTCTGTTGCAAATTTTTGCATTGATATTTCAGTTTTATTATCGTGGTCTTTGGATTCCATTGGTTGGAGATACTTCATCTATTTGGTTATTCAATGGATTGTTTGTGTGGATAGTTTTTGTCGTTTAATCATTGTACTGGATGTAGACAAAGTGCACTTTCACATTTCATAATTTTAATTGGCAGGAAAGTCTCTTCTACACAGTTCCTTCTACATCAATGGAAGCATACCGGAAATCTGTTGAATCTCATTTCCTACATGTTGAGGTAAATTTATGACCAAAGGTCCTGTACTTGTTGCCTTCCGTAGATATTTTAGGGTAATCATTTTAGTCTAATTTGCTAAAGATGTCTTAAGATATGTTATGAGGTTATCTGCTTCTTTTGTCCCTCTTTCCTATCATCGGGTGTAATAATCATTTGACTTCTTTGTGGCCATTAGTGCTAATAAATATAACCTTTTCAGAAAACTGGGAGTAGCATGCAAGAGGAAGTTGATACATCTATTTATGACACTGCACCAGGTAATGTTGGATTCGTTTGCATTTTGATTTTCAAGTGAATTAATGATCGATCTGGAACTCATCACACCCATTTTAATTGAATTGTAGAGTTTGGGTCGGAAGAGAATGTGTATGATGAGGATGATGGAGAAACAAGCACTTACTACTTGCCTAGTGCCTATGAGGGTAGAAAATCATCAAAATCAACCCATAAGAAGCATAGAAACATGATGAAATCTTACCCTCCAAGGTCCTGTGAGTTTGGGGCTGATTTGCCCTATGGAAATTATACAACTGGATTTCAGCCGTCCATGCTACTTGGCAAAAGGCCTGCTAGCTTAAATGTTGGGCCTATACCACCAAAACGGGTGCGCACAGCATCTAGACAGAGAGTTGTAAGTCCTTTCACAGCTGGGGTCCCGGTGACAGTGCAGCCTCAAGTTAAGACAGATGCTTCGAGTGGAGATACCAATTCCTTTCAGGATGACCAAAGTACTTTACATTGTGGATCTCAGATTCAGAGAAATGTGGAAGTAGAGTCAATGGGAGAGTTTGACAGGCCGTTACCGTACGACTGTGCTGAAACGTCTGTTAAAACAAAGAAGAAGAAGAAGGCAAAGAATCTGGTAATATCAATTTGTATATTTATCTAACTTGAAAGGGTAGTTGATTTATTTATGTTGATACGTCTTCATTCATCCTGTATCTATGCCTCAACTTCAGTTGCATAACTACTATATCTGCAGGGTTCTACATATGATCAAGGATGGCAGGTCGATTCAGTTCTAAATGAACAGGTGATTCTTATATTATTATAAGATAAGCACTACCGACACCAATCTTTCTTGTCAGAATTGGTGAAAGTTGGAATGACTATGTTTAACTTTGGCAAAAGTATGCTCTATTGAAAATTTTGATATTGCATCAACACGAAGAAGATTGCTTCCAGTATCTTATCCTTGTTACTTGTTCAGTTCTTTGTGTGAAGATAATGTTATAAGATTTTAGAGGAAAGATTCTCTGCGGAAAGGGAAATTAGAATGGGAATGGAATTCTGTGGCCTGAAATCACATTCATTTGGCAAAGCAAGAAATGGGAACGCTGTTTCAATTGTATGTTTAGTAGAGTAGAAATATTGATCAAATGGATAGGAAAGCTGAGCAAATGACAAGTACCGATGGGCTGAAAGGAGATATTAAAATATTTTGTTAATTAAGATGAGAAAAGAGAAAAGTAATTGGGATTTAAGATCAATAAAACATTATTACATCTAAGCCCTGAATGTGAAATTGGTTCTTTCCTCCTCTCTTCTCTTCATTCATTAGCAGAAGCTTGAGAATGTGGAGTTTTTTGCTATGCTGTGTGAGGGGTAGCTGAAGGATGATTGACCTGGAAACTTTATTGGCTTTGCTAGACCTTAAGCACAAAATAGTAATTTGTGCATCACATTCCTTTTAAAACAGTGAATCCCTATCCACTGATTGATGATAAAAGCATTTCAATCTCTTGAGGGAAAGAGCATTCCTAATAAAAGGAACTCTCTTGTATGAAAACGGCATTTTGCTTCTCTCCCAGTTCTTTCCTTCTTTTTCCATCCTCTGCCTTGTATCGTAGAGAGCGTTAGTTTTCCTTGATGGTTGTTATGGGCTCTGCGCTAAGCAATATCAAATTTTGAAAAGGAGTTGCCTCAACTGTGGAATTTAAAGTGCCGGTTAGTTATCAGATGTCAACTGCATAAGTTCATAAATCAATATATATCATAAAAATGAAATCAGATTTTCCTGTATATTTACTGTTAATCGTTATTCATTATTATTATTGATTTGTTTTATTTTAAATTTTGATGAAAATCCCTATAAGCTGTATAGGGTTAGATGCTTCTAGTTGCAAGTCAAAAACAGAAAAAGAGTATGCTGTTTGAAATAAGGAGTATAGTTATAGATTTTGCTTACATAGTTGTAGGCTGTTGGAAATGAAGTTGAATGCATTTCATGATGGTTTTTGATTGAGAAGTGACAATTATAGGAAGAGCTGGATAATCTAGGTGGTGGGGATGGGTTTGTACTGATTCTTGCTATGTGCGATTTGATTCTTGCTATGCGCGATTTAATAGTGATCTGGCACAATTCCCTTGAGATTGCCTCTTTTTCCCCGTTTTTGTTTTGTCTTTTTTTGGGCGCAGGGTTAAGCTCTTATAAAATAGCCAAGCCTGATGGTGATGGGACTGAGTCGACAATTGACTGTAGACAAATCATGCTTTTTAATGTAGCATTAGGGAGTATAGAAGAAGACTAAGCACTATCAATGATTTTATTTTAATCATACGTAGTAGGTACCTAAGTATAGCTGAAAATAAGATTCCTGTGGCCTTGTTATTGTTGCTTTAATTGACTTTTTAACTTTTTCTCAACTTTGTTAAGCTGAATTTTTACTCATTACTGTGGTTACTGTAGCGTTGGGGAGCATAGAAAAAGACTAAGCACTGTCAATGATTTTGTTTTAATCATACGCAGTAGGTACCTAAGTATGGCTGAAAATAACTGGATTCCCTGTGGCTTTCTTATTGTTGCTATAATAATTGACTCTTAACTCTTTCTCAACTTTGTTAGGTTGAATTTTTACTCATTACTGTGGTTAATTTACAATGCAGAGGGATCATTCCAAGAAGAGATTAGATAGTCATCATTTTGATCCTAATGGAAGCAGTGGTAATATAAGTTCCCATCCTGGTATTGTTAGAATTTGTTTTATTGTTTAACATTATTGAGTATTCTTTGTTCTTTTGAGTTTTTAACACATTTAGCTGTCTTATACTGAAGGTTTATATGCGCAACATATTGCAAAGAAGCCAAAGACAATGAAGTTGACACTTGACAATACATTTGACAACATTCCTACGATGAACGGCTCTATTCCTTCTCCAGCTGCTTCTCAAATGAGTAATATGTCCAATCAAAGTAAACTCATTAAAATTATTAGTGGCCGAGATAGAGGCCGCAAGGCTAAATCACTGAAGGTAATTTTGGCTTGAGCGTAGATTGTCACACTCCTATGACCTTGTTGATGTAAGTGTAATGTATCCATTATTTCCATTTATAGATAGCTGCTGGGCAGCCTGGCTCTGGAAGTCCTTGGTCCCTTTTTGAAGACCAGGTAGCCATCTTATACGCCCCTTTTTTTTTGGGGGGGTGTTTGTACATTCAGGGGAAAGCTTTTCTAATTTCAATCAGTATCATGTGCTTTTAATGGTTTACTTTTATATTTTGCCTGTTACAGGCCCTTGTTGTCCTGGTACATGATATGGGTCCAAACTGGGAGCTTGTTAGCGATGCTATTAATAGCACTCTTCAATTTAAGGTAATAATCCGTTTATATTCATGTTTATGGATAGAAGATGCCAAGATTACAGGATTCTGTATTATTTAATTATTCTCTTGGGATCTGACGAATAATGGTTAAATTGAAATGGATATCTGAGATTTCTTTATTTTGAATAAAATGAAGCAATGCCGTATCACCTGAAACAGTGCCTAGTAGTGATCTAAATACTAAATGAAGACTGCCAAAATATAAATATAATCTGTAGCACTAGATCATCCATGTTTTTTTTCCTTTTTTTAGTGTTTTTTTTTTGGGGGGGGGGGGTTGTTAAACACAAGTTATCTTTTGATGCTACCCTTGGTGACACTACTTTGTTAAATTCAGCACTGATTTTGGTATTTTCCATCGAGTTAAGAAAATGTTTGTCACATCCTTTTTGAAGTGTGTTGCTTTGTGCCTTGTGAAATTTTTACTTAAACCTAGCTGATTTAATACTTGGATTCCATGAAATTTGGCAATATTTTCAGTGTATCTTCCGGAAGCCAAAAGAATGCAAGGAACGTCATAAGATCTTGATGGATAGGAGTGCTGGGGATGGTGCTGATAGTGCTGAAGATTCTGGGTCTTCTCAGTCTTATCCATCTACGCTACCTGGAATTCCAAAGGCAGGGAGTTTATGTCAAGTTTTATTTAATGTTTTTTGCATTGATGGAAGAAGTGCATGTGATTGACAAGAATTTTGTGGGCTGTGACTTGAGTCTTTTGCAGGGTAGTGCCAGGCAGTTATTTCAAAGATTGCAGGGACCCATGGAGGAGGATACCCTCAAGTCTCATTTTGAGAATATCATAAAGATTGGGCACAAGCAGTACTACCGTAGGAATCAGGTCTGGATCTATATACTGTGAGAAATCACATGTTGCTCCGACCTGGGGGTTGCCTTATAATTGCTGCCCATTTTAATATTTTCCTATTTTTACTTACTTTTCAGTTAGAAGGTTTGATAGAGGCCTTTAATTAGGTTGGTCACTTTCGGTAGATATAATTTATTGAGGTCACGTTTGGTATGATGGAATGGCTCCCTTGGAAATGGAAATGGAATAGAATTCCGAGGAATTCCGAGCTTTTAGCATGTTTGGTATGTCAGATTTTAATTCCCCATGGAATCCATTTCAACCAAAAATGCATGAATTCATTTCCATCCTCCTACCCAAATATTTCATTTCCATCTCCTTAGTCCTCATTTTTAACCTTTACTCACCACCACCCACCTTCGTAGCCTTACTCATCGGCGATGTCCACTCACCCACCCCCCAAACCGTCTGCTCACTCACCAGAGACCATAGCGATGACGGCAAGGACGATACGATGGCGAAGATGATATGGCAGTGATGACAGTGATGCTTTTTCATCGATGAGGCAAAATGAGGAATCATCATCAACGATGCTCACTCTCTTGCTTGAATGCTCTCGAAACTGGCCTCCTACCCTCATTTTCGATTTTGCTAGATCTAGTTCTTGATCTTCGTAGGCGTCTGGGTTTGTTGACTGGTGGGATGGAGTGAACATTCACTGGATACTCCTCCCTCCATGCTTGATGTGTCAAAGGCGGAGATGAAGACGTCAAAGAGGATTTCGGATCTGCCATGAAGTTTGAATTCTTTGAAAGGAGATGAAGATCTGAAAAGTTGCTGTGCTGCCAGTGGTGATTTGTGCTGGAGATGAAGATGGGAACTTTTTTAATTTTTTAATTTATGAGGACATTTTGGTCTTTAAACATAAAAATTAGGTCTCATTTCCATAACATACCAAACACACTTGTAAACCCCATTTCCATGCTCATTTCCATTTCCATTTCTATCAAAATCAATTCCAGTGTACTAAACGAGCCCTAAGAAGAATAGATTATGGTGACCTCTAAGATGTCCTCCTATTGATAACGTTTATGATGACTAGCGATCTATAGATAGCTCTAGAGTCATTGACTTTTAGTTCTTTTTGACCTGTTGAATGAAGTTTGACTTGTTCTTCAATTTTTCAGCTACTTCTCCCTCCTGTCTTTTAGTCCCCTCCCCACGTCCCCCTTCCCTTCACTCTTTTACATTGCCTTTCTTGCTTTGTGCTCACATAACTTGGTGCTTTTGCTTTATGTTTCTGCTTGTCTTTTGAATGAGTTTCGGCTTGTCATCCATTGTGGCTGATGATTTAATATAGTTGATGAGTTGACAAATAGTTGGGCTAAGTCCCCTCTTGAGTTTGTCACACATGGGCTAATTCCACTCATTTTTGGAATAATGATCTGGGGAAGATTAATTGACCACCAAAAAATCTGATTATTTCATAGCGTAGTATGGTTGTGCTTGCACATGCTCACAATGGCCATGAATGTGTTGTTTCCAAATTTCAATCAAGTTGCTTTGAATTGAAATTCTTGATTTATTGCAGAATGGTAATCAGGATTTGAAGCAAATAGTACCTGTCCATAATTCACATGTAATCTGTCCAAACAACCTCAATGGAGTTCTTCTAACGTAAGTTCTGAATTTAATTTGGGTTCTGGGTCGTAAAGTTTTTTGATGCCCGTCTGAGTGAATTTAGGCTTACCTTGTCATAATTTTTGGTTTACATCTTTATTCCGTTTAATGTAACTATTTTGACTATGTTCCTGGATGAAGGCCCCTTGATCTTTGTGATGCAAATGCACCAACTCCAGATGCCCTTCCCCAGGGGTACCAAGGCTCAACTACTGGTGGTTTGGCATTATCAAATCAAGCTTCTTTGCCATCAATGCACCCTACATCAAGTGTGAATTCCCCACTTCCAGGTTCTTCTGGCATGGTACTTGGCAATAACTTGACATCACCATCTGGTCCAATTCCTGCCTCTGTTAGGTATATGCTTAATATGGATGGTAGTTTTCTCTGCACAATTGTGCAATTACATAAACAAATTTTATAACTCTGCAGTGGATATATGTTTTCCCAGGGATATTAGATATGGAGTTCCAAGAACTTCGCCTTTATCAGTTGATGAGCAGCAGAGAATGCAACAGTATAGTCAAATGATGTCTGGCAGAAATATGCAGCAAGCTAACATGTCCATGCCTGGATCCCTTTCTGGGAGTGATCGTGGTGTTCGTATGTTGCATGGTGGAAATGGTATGGGCATGATGTGTGGCATGAACAGAAGCATGCCCATGTCAAGGCCTGGGCTTCAAGGCATGGCACCATCATCTATGCTGAATTCTGGAAACGTGCCTTCCTCTAGCATGGTGGGGATGCCAAGCCCTGTAAATATGCATGCCGGAGTTGGTACAGGACAAGGCAACTCAATGCTGAGATCTCGTGAGGCTCTACAAATGATGAGGGTGAGAAGTTCTCTTACTCTGTCAATCGATTTAATTAATTCTACGCACTATTTTGTTAGGATTTTCAAGTATGGATTTGAAACTTTTTATTGGCTGTCTTTTTAGTTTTTTTCTGGTGGAATGACATGAGTCCCAAAATGTTGCATTAATGAGTTAGGGCCTGAAAAATTTTTCTGGAAAAATGAGTTGCAAATATTGATGTAAACAGTTGCAAACACAAATCTCAATTTGTAACTGAGAATTACATTTTAAACTTGAATGCCTTTTTTGCAATATTGAGTCCTGAATTTGTAGTTGTTTGAATTGATACATGCAACTCATTTTGTAGAAAAAATTGTCTGGGCCAAACTGTCATTACTTTGGAGTTTCGTATGTAATTTGTTCCTTGAGCAATAAGTATGTTAATGTGATTAGTTGATAACTATCTGTTTATTTTGGGAAGCATATTTTCGGATTTCATTTCGTTTCTGCTGATAAATATTTCCCTGCTGTCATTAGCCGGGCCATAATCCAGAACATCAAAGGCAAATGATGGTTCCAGAGCTTCCAATGCAGGTCTCCCAAGGGACCAGTCAGGGTATCCCAGCCTTTAATGGACTGAGTTCTGCCTTTAATAATCAGACATCACCACCACCTGTCCAGCCATACCCAGGACATGCTCAGCAGCCACATCAGATGTCTCAGCAACAGTCTCATCTCAGCAGTTCTCATCCCCATCTTCAAGGTACAAATCATGCCTCTAATCCCCAGCAGCAAGCCATGGCACTCCGCTACGCAAAGGAAAGGCAGCAGCAACAGCAACGATATCTGCAACAGCAGCAGCAGCAGCAACAGTTTGCTTCATCTAATACACTGATGCCACATGTTCAGGCACAGTCCAAACTTCCCATGTCATCAGCTCCACAGAACAGTTCTCAGATTCAATCTCAAAATTCATCTCAGCAAGGAGTACCTGTCTCCCCTGCAACAACATCTCAGCAGCAGCAGCAGAAACATCACCTGCCGCAACATGGTTTCAGCAGGAATCCTGGTACTAGTGGATTGACAAACCAAGCTGCTAAACAACGGCAACGACAGCCACAGCAGCAACAATATCAGCAGCCCGGAAGGCAGCATCCTAATTCACGGCAGCATGCACAGTCTCAACAACAGGCAAAGCTTCTGAAGGGAATAGGAAGAGGAAATATGTTGGCTCATCAGAACATCCCGTTGGATGGTTCTCATCTAAATGGCCTCTCTATACCTCCAGGAAGCCAAAATGCTGAGAAAGGGGACCCAGTGATGCACGTAATGCAAGGACAAAACCCATATCCTGAATCTGGTTTAAGTTCAAATCAACAGTCAAAGTCATTACCTTCTGTTCATTCCACAAACCATTCTCAGTTGCAGCAGAAGTTGCATCCGGCAACAACAGCTCCTTCACCAAAGCAACCTCAATCAATGGCATCTGCTGATAGTAGTGCTCAAGGACCATCCCATGTTTTGTCGTCACCTCAACAAGCTGTTATAACTTCAAATCATCACCAGATGCAGTTACAATCTCATCCTCAGTCAAAGCAAATCAATCAAACTCAATCAAATGTGCAGAGAGTGATACAGCAGAGTCGTGCGGTACACTCTGATTCTCCAAGCAAATCTCAGTCGGATCCTACTCAAGTTGATCAGCAGCCTGCTAACAGTACTCCTGAGGTTAGTATGAGCTCGGTGATGACTCAAGGTTGCATTGACTCAGCTAATATGGCACCTGCTGCTGTTCCTACTGCCTCTTCTCAATGGAAAACATCAGACCCCCCGACTGATTCCAATATGCCCAATCCAGCCATGCAAGTGAGCTCCTTGGGGAATGCGACTGCTGGAAATTCAGCTGTAAAAGAGTCATCACCACAAATCAGTCAGCGAATAGGCTCAAGACAGTTATCCGCTAATTTGCCTTCTCATTCACAAAATTCTGGGGCACATTGGCCGCAGCAGCCACTGCCACTGCAGCAGTCTTCATCACAGCCCATCCTATCCCAGCAGACATATAAGCCACAAGAACAGCAACTGCAAAAGCAACAGGATCAAGAGAAAAATTCACCCAAACGAGTGGCTTTACAACATCAGTCCCAGCAGCAAATGCAACCAGGACAAAGCAGTTTGTTCATTCGTCCCCCAAATTCTAGAGTGGAGTGACACATTTCTATTGCTGGAGCTGCCGAGAGTGGTCAGTTCTGTCAGGAATGGATCTGTATGCCCTTTTGACAGCAATGTACAGGTATTTAAATTGCTTTCTGTGCTTGCTTATACAATTATATTGAGCATTGAACTGCAGGAATTTGTTCTCTTGGAGGGATGGTTAGTGTCATATGCTGTGTTTTGGAAGCATATGAAACATTTATTGCCGAGCAAATATCAGATAGGAATTCTGAGCTTGTGTTAATGCGGATAAAAGGATTTGCCATTGGTCATTGCAGTTGTTAAATCAGTCTAACATATCTCTGATGGCTGTGGTGGCATCTGCTATTCTAATCAGTCTAATAGATGATTTCCTTATGATGGCAGATTCCAGTCTTGCTTGAAATGAGATTGTAAAATCACTGTTGTATGAGTGCTCTCATAGCCTACTTTAAAATGTTTGTTGGGCTGTAGGCTGTTAGATCCCATGTTGTAGCTGCTGTCCTTAAGTATTAAGTTTTGAGCTGATGATGAGATTGATTAATGATGCATGTTTACATGCATAGCAGCTAATGGTGGTATTGTATAAATGAGAATTCCTAATACAATGATAGAAAGAGACTATCATTGTAAATAATTGACAGTGTCATGTGAGGAGAAAACAGTTGATATCGATTAGTTTTATGCAAAGAAGATCAAGTGATGAAACTTAGTCTGGCTAGGTTTTGTATTAGTAGTGGTGTTGTTGATTGTGCATAAATTTTCCGTTTTAAATGATGATCTATTCGAGGTTTCCTTGTCTTAGCTGTCTGTCATGGTTTTTAATGTGAGAACCAAAGGTAGAATGACCGTGTTTATGTTATGGGTTATTTTTGCAGATGAAGCTGGTTATCCCATCAGGACAACAGACGTCCATTGTTTTCTGGAGGTCCTGTTTATAAATTCACGGAACTTATAGTGGCAGGCATTCCTTTAGTTTATTCTTTTTCTGCAAATCTTGTATATTACCACTGTATTTACATGTTATTCCCCAACCCCCACTTTTGTTTTGTTTTGGTTTCTGGGGGAAGAGACGAATATAGAGGTATGTGTACAGGCTCGTCTCTTCTTTTCCTTTAGTTGTGACCCCTCCTTTTTCTCCTTTTCCCTTGTTCTTGCTGCCTATATGCAGAAGAACGTAACCCTCTTCCTTTTTTGCCCCAGTAGATTAGTGGATGTACTATTACCCTCTCAGATAAATGGGATGGCAATCATTTTTCTGGGCAAAAGGCCAGTTGAAAGTATTGTGAATATAAATTTCTGGTGTATGAATCAGCTAATGCTTTCTTTAATTATCTTGCACAAATTACATCCATCTGTGCTTGGGGAATCATCAAGTCTTGTAAACTGTTTTCAGTTCCTGAAATGCAACGTATCATAAGATCTGATCCTGGTATCATAATGAATATAAGGTGCCATTTTCTCAAAATTTCAGTTTAAAATGGTTGATATGAGCAGGTTTTGAAGTGCGAGCCCTTGTTATAGCTGGAGGGTGATTGGACTTGGTATCCTTTTTGAAGGCAACATTAAGGTTTTTACTTTCCAAGTTATTATTCTTCACTAGATAAAGCATGCATTCTTGTGATTATGTTCTGATGTCTGCAGTTTCGTTATGACATTTGTGTCTATATGATGACGACCTAAATGTTTGCTCAGTTTATATTATCTACTTGACTATTTTTGCAATAGAGCTCAAGAGTAAGGGAAGGGGAAAATGGTAAAAGTCAAACTATTGATATGTGAAAGTTTTTGTTGGTTAGATTCCTTTTCTAGAATATTTGAGATATCCAAGTATTTGCTTCCAAATGTAATAATAGCATTGCTTGTTGATGCTTGAAAATCCTTGTCCCAGAATTTTGGTATTTCATGGTTCAAGTGCCACAGAATTTCAACTGGATATTGGAATTGAATGATCTGTTGACAATGGCTAGATGTGGGTATTTTATGTTGAAAACTCACCATTTCACCTTCATTCATGTTCCATTATAATGCGCTGACTTAATTATGTACTCATCTTTTTTTTTAACCAAAATTATATACTAAACATCTTGCTGTCCTTAATTATATAGCTCCTTATTTTGTTAAACTATAGGTGTTTACTGCCAATTCGGAATGTGTAAATAGGGGATTGTGATCTGTCGCAAGTGGGATCCTGCCTATCTTTCTATCTTGTTTCTTGAAAGTTCCAGGATTTTGTAGTTTATGTAATCATACAGATCTTGCTGAATGAATCTATGCAAATTTGATTGGTAGTATTGTCAATAAAATTAGCAGCATCAAATCCCAATAGGGATCATTATTCAAAATACAAATATTTATTGGATATAGAGTTGGTATTTGTAAGTTTTGCTTTTGATTGAAAGTGTAAAATGTGACTGGCGTTCATAAAAATATAAATACATGTAGTTGTAAAATTGCAAGAGCTATTAACAAAAAACATTATCATCAACTCAGGACAGGCTCTTGGAGATGCTTTAAGTTCCAAACGTCTCGGTAAAAATTAGGGTAAAAGTGCCACTTCAATCAAGATTTTATTTTCAGGTGTAATTTTATTTCTGATTCTTTAGATCAAGATTGAAATTACATCTAACCCTAAAAATTATACAAGTGTTATATTTTAGGAAATCAAAATCAAACTATAAAGTTGTATTGTCGAAGTATATGTTATCTTATGCGTGCAGAATGCGTCGCCAACCAATATCCGTTGTCTATATAGCAACTTGGATTTATTTTTGGCATGTTTATAAACAGTTACTTGGGGGGAAAAAACACAAGTATCATGCAAAGATACCTCCATAACCATTTAGAGGGAGATGTTTTTGCATGATACGTTATACAAAAGAAAAAATATTTATCTATGTATTATCGTCACAATACATATGATTATGAGATATTGGAAAAAAATTGCAAACCATTTGCTATTTCAAGTCAGACTGACAAATTGGATCTGACCCAACTTGGACTCCAAATGAAAGCAATTCTCTGACGGCAATCTTTTGCATTTACATAAACTTGTTTCGTCGTGCTTAATTGAAAGTATTCACAACAAATCATAAATGATACACTTCCGATCCTTAGATTTATTTAACTAATTTGATTATATTAAAAAAATTAGATGAGTCAATTAATTATAATATATTTTTCTTAAAACATCATAATTATATTTTTTAATATCTTCTTTTTCTCTCTTATTTGATTATGATTAAAGAAGTATCAACAAAGATAATTTTAAAAAATTAATAAATATAAAAAATAAGTCTTATATTTAGATCGGAGAAGTACAATATAATTTACCTCGAGTTCTCCATAAACACACAGTAGGAAATTCTCTTTAAAATTGCATATCCCACTTAAAAATTCCTTCACTGAGTAGGATCATGCTGTTTGTTCGCTTATTAAGGACTTCAATCAAATTGCTAAGCCACACATTAGTCTAACGCATACTACAATAATATCTCTGTGTGCGTGTGTGCGCGTGTAATGTCATATAGTATTTATTCCCAACCAGTGGTCAGGCCAAATCAAGGGGCATCTTACCTATTTTCCCTACCACCGGTAAATGAAACTTGACCTCTAAAAAGAACTGCTGCAAAAAGAAATGGTTCTTTAAAGCAGTGACAAGCCAGTCATGTAGAATATGCAAAGTAATGATCCCTAGGCTACTGTAACGGTGCATTTCTTAATCAGTACCAACTAGCATGATGCAGAGTAGGCCTTCAAGCTTATAGCTTTGTTGAGCAATCCACATCCTGGCTCATGTTTGAAAGCCAAGTTTAGGCCTTCAAGCATGATGCAGAGTAGGCCTTCAAGCTTATAGCTTTGTTGAGCAATCCACATCCTGGCTCATGTTTGAAAGCCAAGTTTACCAGAAAATAGATCTTTCTGCTTCGACTTCTTAGCCTTAACTACTCTAATTGGGCACCTTTCCCCCGGAAAACATAAATGGGGTTAAACAGAATTTCCTTATGCGAACAGGATGTTCCTCGGAGAATCATAGGCCATCCAAGTTTGCTCCTCATCTGGCTAAGAAATCAGCAGGCATGTTTGTTTCGCGAGGGACAAAATTGAACATCAAAGATTAGTTGCTCCCGGCAGCGAGCCAATCGCAAAGCGTATGGAGTCTGATGAGAGACGCGCTTGAGCACCCTTCTGAAGCAGATCATTCTCTGATTGTGCTTTGACACAGACACACACACACGGACGAAAATAAAAGGAAAAGAAGTAACTGATCATATTCATTTCCTAGTCTACCCTTCATGACCGAATATGACGGGTGAAGCGAAGGTGATAACAAAGAACAAGACCTAAATGATTGATGCAAGGTCTATAAGCCTTTATTATCATCGCTCACTAATATCTGTCCCCTTTAATATACTTTCTATGTACGGATATGACAATTGCCTCCTATCACATCATTCCCATAACACAATTTATAATCCCGTTTTTTCCAGCCAAAAAAGAAAATCACGTCTTGCAGCAGAGTTTCAAAACAATGAATAAAGCTTCTCAATAAAATTCATAAATCTTAGTTAGAACTCAGTTGCTAACTCATGAGCTACGTTTATGCTCCGACAAATTCATAACTCTCATAATAAAAACAGTTCTCTCATATATCCAGTAGCATTCAACCTAAAAAGTGCTAGCTGCCTCATCACACAATTGAAGCTAGAAAGCTATTTCATTAGATAATCGTAGAACAGCATGAAATAATTAGTTTTGGTAGCATGACAGAAGATCACAGCCAGCTTAGTGAGTAAGATACCAGGATACGGATTACCATAATTGGCACGAAGCATTTGGGATATAAACAAAGTATGAACAAGGAATCTTCCATCATTCATCACTAAATGGAAAATGGTTGACATATACTGAAGATAGACCCAAATATTAATTTTGGCCTTTTGTCCAAGCTTACTGCGCAAAATGGACCAAATCAAATTACTGCTAGCATCCAATGAACAAAGAATACGTATGGATAAACAACAGATAAAATCAAATTCTGATAGCAGTCAGTGAAGTCGTGAACAAGATTACATGAACCATAAAGGATTATTAGATCAATCACAAACAACATTCCATGGAGGACAGATTAATCTTAAAGGTTTGACTTTTCTAAATATTTCTCAATCTACGGGATTATTTTATATTCATTTAAAAGTGCAATAACAATAATGAAGATAAAGTATTATCATACACACATACTGGATTTCCTCGAATATATTGGTTCGTTGGCATTTTACTTCCACCCTTGATAAAATCAAGAAAGGAATTTGTGATATACAGATATGACAAATTTGAATTGAATATCAGCTTTTGTTGAAAGAGCCCAAAAAAAAAAAATTCTGCTTTTGCAGCTGGACATTTGTAACACTAAAATGCTGGAGTAAAACAAGAAATTCCCATTAGGCAGGAAACAAATACTTCTGAACAAATAAACAACTTCATGAAAGCTGCCAGAGTGCCAGCACAGTTGTTAGTAAGATGCTTTGGTGCATGCATTATGGGGCACTAATCATAAGCCAAAAATAATGCAGATCATTTCTCTTAGACGCTCTGCTCAAAACCTTCATCTAATCATGACATTAACAATTATTCAAGAAAGGAGAGCATGTTCTTTTATTAAAAAATATATAAATAACCCCTGTAAAATGGTGATAATAGCAAGAACGAAATTTTACAGCTGAAGAAAAATAATAGGAAGCTTAAATATTTAGATTTCGGGACTTATCTTCATCTTCTTGGGGAAGCCGAAAGCCTTCCCAATTGAATCAACAATTCTCTGCTGCGATTTTACAATCATCTCAATCCGCTTATTCTCCATCTCCAACCTACACCTCTCAGTTTCCTTCATCATCTCCATCTTCAAATTCTCCATCCCAATGAACCTTTCCGCAAAAGCCTTCATCTCTGCAGCTACCCCAGAAACCAACCCCGTTCCTTCCACCATTCTTCCATCATTTAGCTCCTCAACATTCTCTTCCACCTGTTCCTCTTCCTTCTCTTCAGAGATCCTCCAACGCCTCTTAGCTACTTGCTCCCGAGAGAACTCAGGAACTCCTCTATATTTACTTTCAGGTCGCTGGCTGAGAAAATAATTACTACTCCTTGACTGGCCATATTGCCGTCTTTCATCAATCTCATTATCTTTATCATCATCATCACCAACATCAACGTCATTTTCTTCTTCGTTATCACCATAATCAAAGGGCATCAGAGCCACAAGCGGTCGGGCAGAAATAGGCATAGGGCCTTTCTCTAATTGGTCCATAAGGTCAAAGTATTGCCAAACGCGAGTGCCACTGGAGGAAGCAGCCAGACGATGGTTCTCGGCACGATAACGTTGACGGAGCTTTTCCATCTTGTGGCGGCACTGGACGGCGGTCTTGGAGGGCTCATTGTAGTCATAACCGCATCGGACGGCGACAGTGACGGCGACCTCTTCCCACTGGTTGGCCTTGAGAGGACCTCGCTTGAGGGAATACCATTTCTCTTGGTAGGTTTGGATGAGACTGATTGTTTCTTGATGGGTCCACGGAATCGATTGGGGCTTCTTGGTGGGTGACGCGGTGGTGGTGACTGGGGAGAAGGGTTTAGGTGAGGGAGGTGAGGCCATTGATGGGCTCTTCTTCCACGTTGGCGCTCTTTTTGCCCTGTTTTTCTTGGGATTTATTTATGTCATGGTGGTTTAATCTAATTGAAGAGGAAGAGTCGGGCTTTGGTCGACATTAGGTTGTGGTGGTTGCGTCGGCTATGGCGGTGACAGTGGTTGTTCATGAGGCCGTGACGGCGATGGCGGACTCGGGTGGAGCAGAGGGGATTGGATGAGAACAGTGAGAAGATAGGCTTCGTCGCAAAACGCAAGCATACCATCCTGTTAGGACGACGACGACCCCGGGTCCTCAAAATGGGGGCGTTCTTCTGGGCAGAGAAGTAATTCAAGGTACACACCCCGCAGAGTTATTTTGATTTTTAAACTTTTTAAAATGTTTGTGACTAAATTCTAAGATACATTTGTCACGAAACATTAAAAATGAGAGATAATAACTGAGATTATAATTAAAAAAATTATTAAAAATTTTTTTAGCATGAATGTTTGTTTATTATATGGGATTACGTAAACTCATAAAAATAGGATTGGAAAATATCATTTTCTCTCATAATATTTCTTAATCTCACATATATGGTTTTGTCTAATTCTATATAACAAGTAATCTTTCATATTAAACACTATTTTCTAAATCTCAATCCTAATCCCCATCTCTCATTTTCAATGTTTAGCATCAAACGGTTCCTACAAGGAGAAATTTTAAGATGAGGCATATAAGACATATTTATATTATATATAGTTACTATTTAAGTTTCAAAATATTATTACTGTATTTTCTAGCCGGCCAAAAAGAATGTTACTTTATTTGACATGACAAATACTACCTCTGATATTATTTATAAGACCTCATTTGTAGATTATAAATAGAGTTTTATAATTACGATTGAAAGTATTAATTTATTTGAATATATATATCAAAGAGTGTATTTTTTTTTTATAGAAGACAATTTTATTAAAGGAAAAGTACAATGGTATATAATAGAGAGAATTACAATAAGGTCTCAAGGAAATAAAATAATTACTAAAAAGTCTCATTAACAATCTAAACAACTTATAATGATAAGTTTCAAAATAGTAAATGACAATTTCTAAAACTTGTTTTGTAATTATTTTCTTTTCTTATGACCTCATTGTAATTCTCCTTACATAAAATATTGAGTTTCATTACAAGTTATGATAATTAAAGAAATGAAATATCCGCTAAACCTAATCTACAACCAAAGCTAACACTAACAAGATCATTATACCACCATAAATTCATAACGAATGAAAGCAAAAGACAAAAATTGTGTCTTAAAAAACAAGTAAGGGCTTGAATCAGAAAATTAAAACAATTCCAAATCAATGTCAACATAACATATCAACGGCAGTTCGGTCTAATGAAAAAAGCTAATTCCTCATAACGTGATGAACTAATGTTCACATTTCTATTAGAAAAGATGGTCACATTTTAGTACCCAACAATAAACATAGATGATTGAAGATTGCCATTAAAGGCAAAGATATCCCAAGAAATACTTATAAGGTTACTAAAATAAAATTTTTCATCTATGAAACTTTTTTTTTTATCTGGGCAGGCACAAATATCCTTCTATTAAATGCAATTATGTTTAAAATACTGTTAGGCACTAATATGGACACTTTCTCTAATAAAAATTCAAATATTGATTTACACGTTATGAAAAATTAGTCTATTTTGCTAAATCTAAGTCTCTTGACTTCAACGTCAAGGAGGAACTCCATTAAATTTCAAAGTTCAACATCTTAGCCCATGGGTGTAAGTGTAACACTCCCAAGAAGAAAAACCTGGAGAGCCTGTTGGAAATGCAAAGTTGGGCCATATTAAAAGGATCCAAAACAAAAGATCACAACGTGAGTAGCCTCGGATCAAGAGAGCTAGCCACGAAATTCTAATGAGTTTTTCAAAAAATTTATTAACTCTATCTAAAAATAATTTTTTTACACGTAATAACTGAATAATCTGATAATAAATTTCTAACTTACGTTTGAATAATAAATAATGGAATTTTTGGAGGTGCATATGCATTATGCTTTCCAATAGAATGTTAGTTTGTATCACGACCGACAGAGCGGCATTCATCATGCCGTGAATCCAGACCCTTATAGAGGAAATGTCGGATTTGATGGAGATAGATATGCAAGAGATGTCTGCATCATTATTATTATTTTTTGGCCAAAAAGCAAGTCATTTTTATTAATAACCAAACAAAAGTACACTCACTAATAGCCGAAGCCAGAAAAGAACACTCAAAAAGCCTGACATACAACCTAACACACGAAGCTTAAACCAAAACAAACCTAAGATACAACCTACTAAAAATGAAAGAACCAACAAGTAACAAACAAACTCAAGAGACATATATAGCCTATTAACCAACACCACACCTCTCAAACCTGCCATCATTATCTGCATCAGTAATTTTGGAACTTCCGAAAATGTTGCTGTCTTCATGTCTGAGGCCATACAGGTATGTACTCTGAACTCTGAAGTCAACTGGTCATGCTTCTTCATCAACAAGTGTTGGTCTTAACGGAAGGGGTTTTAACCGCTTAAATATGAGGTCCTAAATTTGAGTCAGCATGAATGCTAAAAACCCTAGTGGGAAAGCTACTCCCAATTAAACCTGATGATGCTTGAATCTGGCCTCAGCGCAGATAGCTATATCAAAAAAAGAAATAGGTTTCTTCATGGTGCTTTTGTTTGTTAATGGCAGGGAGTGGGGAGCATCATAGAATTGGCTCCCGGTTACTTGCCTGCTGTCTACGATACTATCAAAAAAGCAGGAGGCCTTTGTATTGAAGATGAAGTTCAGGCAGGATTTGCTCGTACTGGCAGCCCTTTCTGGGGATTTGAGGCTCATGGTGCTGTACCTGACATAGTGATCACACTACAAGAAATTGTAAAAGTAGCAGCGGAACCTTTCTAGCGGTTAAAGAAAACCGCTAGAAATTTCAGATATTTCTAGCGGTTCCTACAAAAACCGCTGCAAAATACAGACGGTTTGACCATTAAACGCACATTTCTAGCGGTTACCCCCTAACCGCTAGAAAATTAGAGCTAGAAAACTCCCCGGGCTTTGGCGGGAACTTGGCGCCAAATTTGTAGCGTTTACTTTCTAGCGGTTCAGGCTAATAAACCGCTAGACACTGAAAAATTCTAGCGGTTGATGCATGAAGCGCTAGAAATTTTTTTCATTCCCCGAGGAGTTTAGAAATTTCTAGCGGTTCACGGCCGAACCGCTAGAGATTTCTAGCGGTTCGGCCGCGAACCGCTAGAAAGTCTGGCGGTTCAAGGCCGAACCGCAGACTTTCTAGCGGTTCGCGGCCGAACCGCTAGAAATCTCTAGCGGTTCGGCCGTGAACCGCTAGAAATTCCCAACGGTCATATGACCGTTGGGAATTTCTAGCGGTTAGGCACAAAACCGCTAGAAATTTCTAGCGGTTTTGTGCCTAACCGCTAGAAAGTTTCGGTCTATATATACCCCCCCCACACTCTCACTTCTTCAATCGTTCTGGAAGCGAAGCTCTGCTGAATTTTCTTCACAAACATATTTGAGTTCTGATTCAGTTGCAGATCCTTATTTTCAGGTAAAAATAGTAATTTATTGATAAATAATTTTTATTTTATGTTTTATTTTATTAATTTTATTATGTTATAGCTTATAAATTAATTTTTTTATTTCATTTATAAATAATTACTATTTGTTGTTATTAGGATGCCTCGTCGACATGGGAAAGACCCAGTTGATCCTGAGAGAGCTGGACCCAGTGAGGTTCATCATGATGCTGATGAGCCATTTCCCAGCATTCATGACTACGATTTGAGCGAGGAGGATATCCTCAGTTTTATGGAGCAGGATGGTATTGAGCGGACTGAGGAGGCTCATTTTACTGGGGATGAGCAACCCCATGCTGATGCTGCTGACGAGGAGGAGGAGGAGGAGGAGCAGCAGGATCAGGGGAATGAGTATCCCCAGGCTGCACAGCGTCCTGCTCCGAGACGTCAGGCTGGTTATGAGGTGGAATTTGTCGGTAAGTATTTATTTTAACTTTTTAAAGTTTTGATCAGTATTTAATTTATATAGAAATTATATTAATTTATTGATATATAATTTATTTCTTAATTAAATTTTGTAGACACTGAGGGGAACAGGTCCTATCGGAGGCTGACAGCCAGAGAGCTGTCTATGATGACGGGCGGACGAGTGGTTGTGCCGCTCAATGAGTTGGGCCAACCGACGAAGAAAGGTGGCCAGTTGTACAACAAGTACGTGCGCCTCCTTGGTCAGCAGTGGACGCTGTTCCCCATCTACGTGCAGGACTGGAAGAAGATCACCTCAGACAAGAAGCAGCAAGGCTGGGAAATAATGAAGGTAATATAAAATTGTTATTTATAATTTTTTTAATTTAAATAAATGATTATATATTTTGTTTTCAAATAATTTAATTGTTTGATTATAATTTTTTATTTATTTAATTTGTTTGTTATTTATAATATTTTTAAAAGTAGTTAAATGAATATATTTTTAATTTAAATTATTTAAAAGTAGTTAAATGAAAATAATTTGTTATTGATTTCATTAATTTATTACTTATAATAATTTTAAATTTAGTTGAGTAAAAATATTTTTTATTTAAATTACTTAATTGTTTAATTATTATTAAACTTTGATTAATTTATATTTTATTTATAATATTGTTAAATTAGTTAAAAACTAATTATTTGTTTTTAATTATTGAAATTGCTTAATTATTTGTTTATAATTTGTTATTTAGTTAATTTATTATTTTAATCATAGAGTAAATTTATTCTGGGGGAGGAGTTGAGGGCTGACACGATCAAGAGGCTGGGGATGGCATGGAAGAACAGGAGGGCCGACCTGTGGAGGGAGAAGAAAGGTGACGGGACGAGGCCCCTCCAGGAGATACTGGCAGATGTACCTGGTGGAGTCCCGGACCAAGACTGGTCTACTTACGTCTATTTTAGGATGACGGCTGACCAGATGGTATGATAATATTGTATTAATTATAATTTCTTTATTTTTTATCCGACTTGACTCATTTAATTTAATTTTTTACATTTTGCTTCAGGCTCTTTCTAGGAGAAATGCTAGGAGCGTCAGGCATCAGACGATACGTCATAGGGCTGGATCCAGGAGCTTTGCGATCACTTATGACGAGATTGTGAGTACTTGAAATAAATTTATTAAATATGTAGATGTATTTAATTTGTAACTAATTATTTCTTTGATTTCATTTACAGATAGAAAAGACGCAGCAGGAGC